CACCCTGGACAGATGCAGGGCTTATATTGTTTTTGCCCACCTTCGCGCCGTACTGGGTGGTCCCGGGAAAGGTAGTACAAGTGGGCACAGAAGCACCGTGGCCACAGCGAGCGCGCAGCCTGAGAAGCTCGAGCATCCCTTGGTTGCGGTCCCATTGGGAACCGTGTGCTTGAGAACCATTACTTACCCAGGACCAGGAAAGGTAAAGACATGCATGCTTAGGGCACAGAGTGAAAGATCTGTGGCATGCCCGTCTATATCCATCCGGATAAAGTAGCATCGATTTGTGCGTCAACCTGCTGCTGCAATATTTGGGGATGCACAGATAGAAATAGCGCTCCCTCTTAATACGAAGAACATTAGTACAAATATGCAGGGATAATTCTGGGCTACTCAGTATCTGTACATGCCTCACGAATGGTAGGGTGCATTTGGCCGAATCATTTCAAAATCCAATTATGTAAAATCGGGGTAAAGCCGTAACCATCACCTTCGCCGCAAATAAGGAAAGCCAAAGTGTTAAATGGGGTCAACCTTCCACTGCAAGCCTTGAACCCCCGCCCCGCGGCGCCGCAGCTTTGCCCACTCCTCGCATAGGGCGGCACCTTTCCCGGCTGTTCTTGAACTTTCCTTCCCGCCCGCTCCCTCGGCTTTCCCGGTGGGTGCTGGGCGCGGGGCTGGCGCAGCGCGGCTCCGCCCGCTGCTCCCCGCCGGCGGCTCCCGAGCAGCGCTGGGCAGCGGGAGCCGGGCCGGGGAAGCGGCGCGGAGCCGCCCGCTGCTGCTGCTGCCCCCGCTGCGCTTGATGCTTGCTGTGCGGCGTGGTGCTTGCGCCTTCAGTAACAAAAGCGGTGGCTGAAGGGGAAAGGAGGCTCGCGGGCGGGCGCGCAGCGTCCCGGAGCTGCCTTTCCAAGCCGCATTGCCGTCTAGCGGCACTTGCAGTGCAAATCCCTGGAGTAGGAGCTTGGTCTGTGAGGGTACAGGCTGCATCTGACCTGACCGGAGCTGCTCTGTGCCAGCGTAAATCTGTGTCTGTGCCTGCTGCACAACGACTGCAGCAGCCTGAGGTGGGCTCTGCCGCTGCCAAAGGAAAGGAGTGGCAAAAGAGACTGAAAGAACCCGTAGTTACTCTGGCAGCTGGGTGTAAACTGCAAAATCTGCAGGTTTCCCCTGAGAAAAAACATTCTTTTCAACCTCACGCAAATGTACACTTCAGTTTACTTTCAAACTGAGTGAGAAGGGAGAAAGCAGAGAAGGAAAGGATTGTGGTTTCTGTGTGCATTTGGTCTAGAAGCTTCTAGCTGCTCTCGATTTGCAATTTAACATGGATGAGTTATTTGATTGCAGATTACATCTGTAGGAGGTACAAAACTGGTTCTGTGCATAGACTCTAGACCTTGGTACACTGAGGAACACAGAGAGAAGCATCTAAGTTGGTTCTGGTCTAGCAGGTCTTGTTGGGGGAGGCACAGCAAAAACACAGGAGATAATTCTTCATCTAATGAGTCTGTAGGGTGCTAAATTTACAATCTCCAGTCAGCATTAGCACACAAGTTCTCCTACGCTCTCAATTCATCTGACATCTTTTTTTTAATTTAAATTTTCTAATAATAAACCAACTGTATGTTGGTTTAAAATAAATCTTTGTAGGTCATTGTGTCTTATGTTTGGCAATGAAGTTTCTGTTTAGGACTGGTACTTTTTCAGACGTGTGTTTTCTACTTCATAATCCCGCATTTAAAAATTGCAGAATATGTAATTGGTGCCAAATTATCTACAACTGCCAAACATGCCTGAACCAAGTTTAATAAAGTGATAAGTAGTAGAAAGGAAAGGAGATCTTTTAGTGGAGATCATTTACAGATGTTACACAGCTCATATTTCCAGTCATCCCCTAGTTTTCAGCGTAGCAGTGCAAGCCCTTACATAAGCAATTTAAACCGAGCACTGTGAGTTAAGTTCCTTAGTAACTTTTCAAAGACTGTTTAGATACTGTGTGAGGGCCTCCCTGAAGGGCTGTGTGTACAGGGCTTTATGGAAATGGGGCAGAGGAGCAAAATGACAGTGAGTGTCTGGGGTGATGTCAATGCCATAATGCTTTCATTAGGGTATGGATGGAGGGAAGGCAGGTCCGGACAGTCTCTTTCTTAAGCCTCTTCTAAGGCCTGCTGATAGTACCACAGCATTGTAAAGGCACCTCATGCCAGGCCTGTTCTCAGAAGATATGTTACAGACACAAAAGAAAGATTTTGGAACTTGATGGGTAGGCTTAGGTGAAGAGAAGATTAAAATTTTGGCAATAGCTTTCAGGCAGAGAGATAGACAAGTGAGGTGATTGCCTAAGGCAGCAGAGAGCATTCTGAGGAGTAAAATGTCCTGAAAAAACAACGAATTCCAGCAAGAGTCTGGAACAGCCTCCCAGGACGTGAAGCCAACCTAAAGCTGGTCAGCAACATGCTAGATTGAGGAATAGGTTTATGTAAGGACTTGCTAAAGATCACAAGGCTTGGACTTAAAACATAAAAGATGGCGTAGGCCAACACAGCTCAGATACAGCTTTATCATCAGGTCCTACACAGGCAAGAGTGGGACTCGAGGTGGCTGAAAGCCCATCAGGAAGGGAGGACCTTTGGGGTGCTGTCAAAGGGTTGGCTTCCCAGGTATGCCACGGCTGGAGTCACTGCACTGTGTGGGTTGACCAAAGCCCCACTATGACACAGTGTGGCCTGGAAGTTCACTTGCCAGCTGTGTTGATCATGCTGGCAGCACAGACTCCCAGGAACTGGGGAAAGGAGTGAGGAATGCATGTCTGTACAAGGTCAAAGATGACATTTCGAGATAACAGCAAACAGAGTAACCAAAAAAGGAATGACCCTGACTATTCATTTGTGATTGGAACAGGAACTGAAACCATGCTCATCAAGAGCACTGGGTTCATGCTTAATTGGCTTGAAAGGGCTGAGCATGGGGTGTACGAAAGGAATAAAGGCAGAAGCCACAGCACTCTGTGTTGACTGGCACTGGCCACCAGCTGGCAGGTGGACAGACAGCCAGACATCAGCAGGGTCACCCTGATGCCAGGTGCCAGGGAACACAAAATCCAACTTAGTGTGGCTTGAGTGTGGTGAAGACCTTCCTGGGAAAACTAATACAAAAATATACATCATACACCATGGGCAACAGCGATAATTTGTGCACCCAAGTTATTTGAAGTAAGGCTTTAAAACGTTGATTGATTGTAACAAAGGGTTAAGTAAACTTTTTAGTTTTGTTTTTTTTTTTTTACTTGGCATACATTTCTTCTGAGGGATTGTTTGGTTACTGTTGAAATCCCAAGGAAACTCCAGATGCTCATCTGTGGTGTATCACACTTATACTGAGCTGGAAAAGAACGTGACTTAATAGATCAGGGACAGCTTTAATTATTTCTGCTTGCTGCATTACAAAAAATAATAGCGGTAAGGAGTATGCAATGCTCAGTTTATGGAATTGCACATTTTTTTGTTGCAATAAGCAGTGCTACCATTGAGGTCCACAGTAGGGCACAAACCTTCATCATTCTGACCCTACACTCGTATTTTGTGTGACATGTTAATGATAGATTATTAAGTTGCCCATCACCCGAGTTTTGCCCTGCCTGTTCTTCAGTCTCAGCATCACTGAGCTGTCCTGGTATCCCTGCTTTCCCTTGCTCCCCAACAGGATATATCAAATCAAGTTCTGTGCTATCCTTTTCATCTGGGAGGGAGGAAGTTGTTGTTTTTCCATATTTATGACCACATCTCTGTGGACTGCAGTACATTGGCATGGCCCATACACAAAGACCATCAGAGCTCTTTTCTGCTCCTTTTCAAATGAAGGCAGTGGTGTTCACTCATCCCCTGCTTTAAAACCGAGCAGCATTTACAGGGGAGTGATCTGAGTTGTTACACAGCAGGCCTGCAAATGAGACTCAACCATTCCAGCTCCAGACTGGAAAAGGGCCCTGTGTCTCCATTTCCCAGGAATTTCTGTGCTGCTCAGCTCCCTGTTCACCAACAGATGTCAATGCTTTCCTAAAATTACAAGCTGTAGGACTTAAAATTAGGCGAGGTCTCATTTTTTAAAAATGGTTCTCTAATAGGGTTATGATTTCTTCTGTGCTTCTGTACATTGATTTCTATTATTTGGTGATTTCATTTATGTGTCCTTCTTAGATCCCAGGTATACATTTCCAAAAAGACTAAACAGCACTTGTTTGTATAGACATCTCTTCTGTTTCAGTGTATCCCTGTCTTTACCAATTATAGCTCATTAGCTAACTTTCAACTCATAGAAATTTAGTAAAATGTATTTTAATCGAGATGTTATTTATTTTTTCACATGCAAAATTAATTTAAAAATACCTGATCATGTTTCATCAATTGGTTTAATTTTGTTCTTTCCTTGCCTTGAAAGTAATTAAGATTAGTGGACAAATGTATGTTTAGACATTCAGATTTTCTATTTTTTTGCATCCCATTGACCAGTGAGTGTACTCTAATGCATGCATGGTAACACCACCAGAAAGGATGGGCAATTCACGTTGTTTTTTTCCTTAAACCACTGCAATGTTTTACTAGGCTTGGTAATTGTAATGTTTTATAATTATTCACTGTTGGCATTATCACTATTGCTGTGAAATGCCACGTGAAGATAGTGCCAGTAACAGTAATTACACATGGTAATTGCCTGATTGATTCTGTTGCACTTTTACTAAAAAACTTATTTTTTTCAAGGCTTTATCAATTTCAGTCTGTTTCCTAATCACTCTTAGGACTGTCATTGTTAAAAAATAATAAATACCTGCTGTAGCTTCCTTTGATAATTGCTATCTTGATCTAATTTTAGAGTTCTCATTAATTTGCAACCTAATCTACTTTTTCTTTGGCTCTCTTTCCTTTAGATGTATTTAACTTCATTTTTTTATTTTTATTATGCAATTCTGGAAAGGTTTTCTTAATGTATTTTTTTTCCTAATTTTTTGTTTCCCATGCAAGCTTTCCTGCTTGGCTTCTTCTCACTTCTCCATCCCTTTTCCCTGGATGTGCCAGAGGAAGGTCAGATTGGATGTTAGGACTATTACAGTGTCTCGCCACTGTTACCATAAAAAATTTCTTCTTTTTAGCCACATCTACAAAGTCCAAATCTACCCTCTTTCAGTTTAAAATCTTGTTACTGATGAACAGAGAATGAAAATAAGTATTTTTGTCACTTCAGTAAATGCCAAACATCAACATTCCTCTCTTTGCTAAGTTTGTTGATAAACATGGGAAGAAGCAAGAATCCACCAATTCCTTACTGCTTACAGACTTTGCAGCATTCTTGATTCTTAGTTACTGTGCAGACAGCTAGATTGCAAATCTGAAAGAGAGGAAAGACTGGGAAACCCATGGACCCACCCTAATGAGGAAGAACAGCCAAATCACAAGAAATGGTGTGTCTTACTCACTTAGGCTGCCTGTGTTCTTAACAGGTGAGACATCTCAGTGCCTGCCTTGCCTCTTTGGTCCTATACCTCATAGATACGGCACAATCCCATGATTTTTACTCATGGAGGTCCTCCCATGTTTTGTATGGACCTTAAAGATTCACCTGAAAGTGACTGACCACTTAACACAGAAAATCTATTCCCGTATTCACCCTCAGAGATTGCCCAGATCCTCTGTCTCAAAGATACTCTTCCTGAGTGGACCAAAGGGTATTCTTTCCTTAGAATCATAACTCTTTTGCCTGTGTGTGATAGCTTTTGGACAGTAGATGATGGAATCTTTAAGTCTGCATTTAATGAAACCAGATTACCTTCTCATCACATTTTTGTCCCTTTTCCAGAGACAGAAGAAAGACTAGGATAGATTTAGTTATTTGGCAGGGTTTATAAATGTCTGCTCCAATACCTACTCTCACAGTATTCTCAGCTCTGCAGGGAGTAGGAACTCCCTGGAGGTGAGAGGTAGAAGGGGCAGGAAGGAAGACACGGAATTCTTTGTCTTATCTTCTCAAGACAAGAATCTTTGTCTTGAGATGCTGTCATGGAGAATTTTTGCTTCCACGTTAAGAGGGAAGGCAGCTAGGAGCCAAGATCTTCCTCTTCCTTCTGTGTGGGCCCAGGTCTACTGGTTGTTTCCTCCTAATTGATGTGAGAAACAGCCAGCTCAGTCTTCTGCAGCTTCCTTCAATTCTTGCTAGATATATATGTTCTCTGTTCCTGCAGAGTTTTCTCCCTTCTCTCTTTAGAAAGAGGAGATCATCTATAGTTGTGTCTGCTCAGGATCTAATGTTTGCACTTTTTCTCTCCACTTTGAATTGCTTAATACAATTGAAATGGAAAAAATATTATTACATAGGAATTGGGAATTCTCTTACATGGTCACAACTGCTTTCAGTCAAGAGAGTTAAAATTCTTTCCAAAACAGCTACACCTTGTTCTGCATAAATGCCAGGGAGCAGGAATGTTCCTAGGTTGAGTGTAGGATGTTAGTTTTCAGGACCAGTGATAAGAAGAAAGGTGGGGGTAAGAAGTTTGCTGATCTTAAATCAAACCTAGTCCTATGTTTGTCCCCATGTAGAATAACTGAGGGACAATCCCAAATACAAGCACAAATACAGGCTGAGTGGCAAATTAATTGAGAACAGCCCTGCCAAGGAGGACTTGAGGGTGTTAGTTTGACCAGAAGTTCGACATGACCTGGCAATGTACATTCACAGCCTAGAAAACGAACCTTGCCCTGAGCTGCATCCAAAGCAGCATGAACAGCAGGGCAAGAGAGGGGTTTCTACCCCTCTGCTCTTGTTAGACCCTACTTGGAGTGATGGATCCAGCTCTGGGGTTCCTAGTATAAGGAAAACACAGACCTCTTAGAGCAAGTCAAGAGGAGGCCACCAAGATGCTCAGAGGGCTGGAGCACCTCTCCTATGGAGACAGGCTGAGAGAGCTGGGGTTGTTCAGCTTGGAGAAGGCTCCAGGGCCACCTAGGACCCCCTTCCAAGTACCTAAAGGGGGCTACAGGAGAGCTGGAGAGGGACTTCTTCTGAGGGCATGTAGTGACAGGACAAGGGATAATGGCTTGAAAGAGGGCAGGGTTAGATTAGATGTTAGGAAGAAATTGTCTACTGAGGATGGTAAGACACTGGCAGAGGTTGCCCAGATAAGCTGTGGATGCACCATCCCTGGAAGAGTTCAAGGCCAGGTTGAATGGAACTTTGAGCACCTGGTCTAGTGGAAGGAGTCCCTATCCGTGGCAAAAGGTTTGAAACTATATGTCCTTTAAAGTCCCTTCCAACCCAAACCATTCAGTAGTTCTGTGATTCTATCATTTAATATGAGTTGCTGAAACTATCTACCTGCTTTTCCTCTCACCTGCACCATGGTTAGTGTGTCGGTATAGGTACATTAATATCAAATCCACAGAAACCATCAAAAAAACCTTCAGTATCTTCCAAGACTGTGTTACTACTTTGGTGCATGATTTGTAGTAAAACACCCTAAAATACTTAGATCTTGTATTTGTCTTTACAATGTAGGGCTTCTTCAAACCCAGGGACACAAAGCTGGGATTCAGACTAAGCCAGCAATCAAGCACTAGGTTACTGGTCAGCATAGGTTTTAACCTATGTTAATCAGCAGCTTTGACTCGTGAATCATACGCAAAACAATAGTGGAGTGCCATGACAGTTTTGGTGGAAAACAGCTTCCAGGCATGACCAGAGAGGATAAGCAATACTGTCATTGTAGATCATCTAGTCTTCTCCTGGACTTGCCATTTTCCTGTGTTTGGATGACAAGGGTTTGCTTTCAGGGTAGCCAGATATGAAGTGTTTGTGAAGCCTGGTGTTGGTGTGGAATGCTGCCAAGGGAAGGTCCACACCCCTTCAGAGCAGCTCCTTCCCTTGCTGTAGGTGTTGTGCTCAAAGTAAATCTTCTGAATCCTGAATTACATAAACTGGGTGGGACTGGGTCATACTCTCATACCTCAAAGCCTTCCTGTTTGCACAGCCACAGCTGCCCCAGCTCAGCAGAAGACAGCTTTGGGGAAAAGATGAGCCAGGCTTTCAAACCGAGGTAGCCTTAACGGAGACAGAGCACGTGTCACTCACAGACCTCAAAGGGCTTGGCAGTCAAGGTCAGTGCACTCTCTTTACTTCATGGGTGGGAAAACAGACAAAACAAGGCTATGGGAAAGGGAAATTATTTTATTGAGATTGTGATTGTAAAACAGTTTGGATTAGGGAAGTAGGGCGTGAATCTCCTGTGCCCAGACATGCTCTCCTGGGTACTGTGTGCTTCAAATTGACAGTTACTGCAGGGAAGCTGGTCATCTCCATCATTTTTGCTGACTCTCCCTCACAGCACCTCCTAATACTAAGCACAGGCATATAGTACCTAAATGGAGGTAGAAAAGTGCAACTTTGGAATATCATGTTGCAGCAACAGCATGTAGCTCTGTACATATCCAATTAGGAGCTAAAATGTGGACATTGTGTTGATACAGTCTTTTCATTTTCTGGCTGTTGCTGTGTAAGCCACCTCTACCATACAAGTTCCTAGTAGACTTCCTGGAGCCTCGGGCACTCTCCCTCTTCAAATAAATTGTTAATGGGAAAGTGAATACCTTTATTTCCCTCTTTTCTTCCATGGTGTATAGGAGAATTTATTGAAACAGTCACTTTGTCTCCAAAATCATGGTATACTTGTCACTTCTATTTAAATAGTGTGATAACAAAGCTAAACAAGGAAACAAACAACCAAAACAACAAACCAACCAAATCCCAAAAAAAGCTGTATCCACAAATCTGAGTCCTCTTTGTTTGGAGTTCCTGCTAGGCAACAACAAAAAAATTGCTCTTTGGGGTTGCTACAGCTGTTCCTTATTGCTGAACTATCCTGTATGGATGTTGTTCTCTCCACCACACAGGAGTGTCCTGGAGATGAAACCCTGCGCCACTTACGAGCTGTTAGTGGATGGTGTTGGGACATGGGACTTCACTGGAGGTTTTGTTCCCTGTGAGCTGCTCCTTGTTGGAGAAGATGCCTACCCTGTGCTCCTGAGCGCTAAGAAGCAGGTCCTGATTGCTGTTTCACAGTATGGGAAGGGCCGGATGGTGGTTGTTTCCCATGAAGGAATCCTGAAGGGCCCCAAGTTCTCTCAGTTCCTCAGAAATGCCGTGGAGTGGCTCAAGCCTTGCCCGGAGGCTCTGGTTGGGGTTCATCCTCGTCTGGATTCCCTGTCCCAGGTGCTGCTTGGGGCTGGCACCCGAGTGCAGGTGGGGGCAGAGCCCAGCCCATCCATGGGGGTGTTCTGTATGGATGCCTATGACAGCTCCCAGGCCAAAGGCGTCGTTGACTTTGTCAAAGGGGGTGGAGGGCTTCTTGTTGGAGGCCAAGCCTGGTATTGGGCAAGTCGACACGGCAAGGAGAAGGTGCTGTTCGAATTCCCTGGGAACCAGGTGACCAGTGTGGCTGGCGTGTACTTCACAGGAAACACAGTGGAAAAAGGCATCTTCAAAGTCGCCAAGAAGATTCCCAAGATCCCTTTAGTTGTGCCGTGAGTACCTGAATTACCCTCTCTTTAAACCACCGACCAGGTTATGTGGGTGAGTTGTTTATAGAAGATTTGGGAGGTGAGAAGTGAGAAGTGAGGGTGATGGGGTTCTTTAATAACCAGGATGGAATTGTTCCGTTCCAATTTGAACAGGACCATTCCCATTTTTTGCAATTCGATAGAATGCTGTCTTCAGCTGCTTCCAGCGCAGCAGGACCAGGCCCAGGGAATCCATTCTAAGAGAAGGAAATGAGAGGAGCCATATTTTAGAGCAGCATGCCTGATCAACTGTACCTGAGTGAAATGCAGCAAAACAGGAACTCCTCTCCCTCTCCTCACACATCTCTACATTCAGGGCAACTTTCCCACAGCTGAAAACCAGGTTGGAGATGAAGCAGCTCTCTGGGCCGGGCTCTGGCTGACAGCTGCTAAACCTGTTTAGCCTGTTCCTTGCAGGAATTTGCTTCTGTGGGTAAACCCCTGGAGCTGGCCAGAGCTGAGGCTGGGTGCGTCTTCCCTTCTCAGCTTCTGACACAGGCTGTGGGCAAGTAATCTCAGTACTCCCCATTTGTTTGGGATTCCAGCCTGGCTCTTTGTGTTCTGGATTATCAGGTGTAAAACTCAGGGCTGTTATGACTTATATTGCACAACTGACCAGGCATTGGAGTCCTGGATGTTGCCCTGCTGTCTTCCTCCCCTTGCCAGTGGCTATACCAGGCTCTTTCTCCTGTCACTTTCTGCTAAGTTACATAAGGCACAGCAGGTTCTCCAAGGAGCATTAGTGCTGCTGCACTTCCCTCTGTGTGGCAGCTTCATTTCTCTGTAGTGACAGCCACAGCAATTATGGTATAATTCCCTGCAAGGCTTTCCTTCACAGCTTTTTCCTTGTGGATATAGAATACTAAAGGTCTAATATTTTCAAACAATTAATGAATTTGATACTTTTTGTTTGTTTTCCAGTAAAGGTAGTAGAGACCTCTGCTGTTTAATTCAGTGAAATGCTTAGGGCACAGCTAACAAATCAGGTTGCCTAATTAAAATTTGCTGGTTGCTTCTTGTCACTGTCTGCACTGCACAGGCATGTTCTCACTGCTCCATTCACAGGGCGTAGAAGAGGGCAAGGAGTGGGGAATTCAGAAGAGAAAAATCACATCACAATTAACAAGACTTCAAGTGGTAACTCAGGGTGGATTACACCTTATTTAGGTTGTTTTTCTGGGGATTTTGTTTGAATCCAGAGCCGCAGAGAAATTTAGATCTCAAATTTCTGTGTAACACAATTCTACATCTGGATCTTCCTGCCAGATTTGTGTGCAGAGAATCAGGCTTCAGTCTGAGACAGGGACAGTGCCATATGCCTGGGCACATGCTCTGTGTGACAAAGGATCTCAGTAAAGTAATAACCAAAGAAGAGCTGCAGATTTAATTCCTGTCCTACAGGGGTGAAGAAGGGCAGCATCATTTTTTCTCACTGAGTTGGCAGCAATGGCCATTTAACAACAGATCCTTCACAGGTGTTGGGGGAAAACTATTTGGCAGAATGAGAGGAAAGTATACACAAAGCAAATGAGAGTAATTCAGCATGTCTTTCTCCACAGTGACATATAGGAGTTACATGGAAATAGCAGAGATAAGAGAGCCTTGCACAGCCTAATCTCTTTTTATTGTGGAGACTAACAATGTGAGGTAACGTGAGGTGTATGTGTTAAGGCTCTAATTCAATTTCAAGTCACTCACTATTTGTCTAGCTGTGTGTCTGCCTGTCTGTGTAGCCCCCTCTGTCCTAGCACTCCTTTCTTCAGTTCTCAACAGTGGCAGAGCTTAGGGAAAGGCACAGGAATGTTTTGGACTTGCCTAGTTTGTAAAGGCTAGGGTGTGGCAAATAGAGAAAGTTTCTCTTAAAGGAGATATGCCAATTCCCACATTATGTGCAGTTTAAATCTACAGTTTAAGAAACTATGAAGGGTCTGATTTTTGAGTTTCTGCAATGTATTTAGGTTTTCAAGTCATTCTTCAAAGACAGAGGTCTAGAAGCTTCCTTTTGACCTAGGAAGCTTCCTTTTAACCATTCCATTTTCTTAATGAGGGCTGAGATTCATACAGATTTGCTTGGCTGTAAGAACTGAGGCTTTAAAAGGAGAGAAATGAGGCATTGATGGATTTTTTATTTTTTATTTTTTTAATGAGAGAACTGACAGCATGATGTCCTGGGATGAAGGAGAAAGAAGAGGCAAGGATGTCCACTGAGAATAGCTCAGTTGGTTAGAACATGGTGGTGCTACTAATAGTGTCAAGGAGGTGGGTTTGATCCCTGTATGGGCCACTCGCTTAAGAACTGGACTCAGTGATCCTTCCAGCTCAGAATATTCTGTGAAATCAAGAAAAGAACTCCTTAAGTTTCAGCTATGACACCAGTCATTTTGCACCAAGGATTCTGGGCTGGGGGCTAACCTGGAGCTCTCTTGGTTCTGCAGGCACCAGGCCAACCTGAGCCTTGATGCCGAATTTCTCCTGCGTGGTGTGTCGGAGCTGGATTTGGTGACGGGGGGCATGCCCTCCACCTTGCTGGTGCATGGAGCCCTCTCCTTCCCACTGTGCCTGGACAGCTCCCAGCGCTGCCTCTTGGCTGCCGCACGCTACGGCCGTGGCCGTGTGGTGGTGGCAACCCACGAGAGCCAACTCTTCTCCCCAAAGCTGGCCAGGTTCCTGCTCAATGCTGTCTCCTGGCTGGATGCCGGGAGGAAGGGGCTGGTGGGGGTGGATCCCAGCCTGAAAAAGCTGTGTAGCCTCCTGTCTCAGGCAGAGGTGAAGTCGCAGCTGTCACAGCTGGCAGGTGACATCAGCGTGTACTGCTGCACCTCTTATGGTGACAGAGAAGCCGAGAGAATCCACGCTTTCGTTGCAGAGGGAGGCGGCCTGCTGGTGGGGGGCCAGGCCTGGTACTGGGCTTCCCAGAACTGTGGAAAAGCTGCTGTGGCAGAATATCCTGGCAACAGGATCCTGAATCGCTTTGGGCTGAGCATCCTGGGGCAGAGTGGCCAGGCAGCCAAGTACCTGCCCGTGGGGCCAGGGGAGCACTACCACTTCCGCAGGGCGCTCCTGCTCTTCAGCACGCAGCTGCAGGGGCACCAGGAGCTCACGGAGCCCCTGAAGGGCTGGCTGCCCCCTCTGGCGCAGGACTGCGCTGCCTTCCTGCACATCCCAGCCCATGACTGCCCGGCATACGCCTCGCTCCACCGCATCCTGACCAAAGTGCTCAAGAGGACTGGGATCCCGCAGGTCAGCAGGCACTGCCCGGTCAAGAGCAACTCCAAAGAGGCAGTGCTCCTCTGCATGGCGACCGAGCTGTCCCTCACCATGACAGACAGTGCGGCCCTCGTGCAGAAATCTGCTGCTGGGGCCTGTGGCCTCCCTGTCACTGTGGAAATCGATGGCACAAACCCAGGTGAGCAGTTATCTTGCTTCCTCTCAAGCCATCCTGTTGCTGGGATCAGTGGGGTGCCCTGCCCTCAGTGTGCCTGTGTCTGTGTGCCTGAACATGGACACAGATGTGTAATTTCACCATGGGCTTGAGAGGAGACTGAGCTCAGTGCAGTGGCAGACAGGCTCCTTTTGTGGCCAGCCCTGACCTCAGCACCTGAAACACCCCATGGAAATCCTGCTTCCTCCCTCTTGGTGCGCAGGCACTATCAGGAGAAGAACCCCCAACTTGTGGTACCACAGGACACTTGCATGGCACAATGGTTTTGGCAAGAAAGCTTCTTTGAGAAACCCTGGACTCTACACTGCAGGTTGCTGTTCCCATAGTTGTTCTGATACAGCTATCTATGGAGTCATCCTACAAAGAGGTGGGAGTTAGAAATGAAAGGTTTATTTGTTATCTAGGTAATTTCAGCCTGAGTTATATCACAGTCCCACAGCTTGGTGTATCAGCACAATGGAGGGAAGGGTTTTGAGGGTGAAAATGAGAAGCTGGAAGTATAGTGGGAACTTCTTGGGCTGACACCACCACTGAAGCCAAAGTATTGGGTAAATACACCATAAATTATTTGTCTAAGCTTAGGTCTTGTATCTGTACCAACTTGCTGAGGATCCTGCTCACAACTGATATTTTTAACTCCAAGTTAAATTCCATTAGTAACTTTTATCCCCTGGACAGTTTTTTTTGGTCTTAGCATATGATTTAGAGGAGTTGTTTCCAAATTGTTCTAATGAGATAAAGGAGGCTGTTCTGGAATGGCAAGGTCTGAGTGCAGTGGCTGTGCAGAGAGAAAAGTTGTAGAATAACTTCTTACTGGTTTTAGCACGAATGAGTCAAGACAAAAGCAGAAAATACTCAGAATTTGTGTCATTTCACATAAAAAAAAGAAAAAAGAAAGAAGAGCTAGCAAACCCTGAGCACCATTTCAAAACTGCCTTTGGTGCAAATTCAGCAAAACTGAGATGAACTGGTAACACACTGTGATATACTCTCATTTGTGTTTTCCCCTGGATTAGGTTTTCCTTGACAAAACTGGTTCTGCTTTCTTGGATGACAGGAAAGGTTGTAAGTTGGGTGCTTAATCACAGTTCAGCTCTTTCTAGGACTTCCGGTGTTTGGATTGAAATATGCCTAAGTAAACTTTATGTCAGAACTAGGGAGTGGAGTCTGCCTGATCAGTAAAGCAGAGATGGATCAGTTTTGCACTGTAAATTCTGTAAGTTGCAAGTATTTAAAGAGATTTATGCTGAGGAGACTTGCATTTCCATGGGAAGACTGTTTAGAAACATGCTGAATTGTAGTGGTACGTACCCTTCTTACAGGTACACCTAGCACAGAATGGTTTCTTGAGGCTTTCTCATCATTTCAGTCAGCTAGAAATGACAATTCCTGTGGGCTCCGGTTTTTGCTGGACCAGACACTAAGGAAAAATGCGATGCCACTGTCAGTCTATTATTTGGGAAAAGTTTTATGACCATTACAGCTTCAATCGTGTAATCCCACCGTAGATGGCACCTCTTACGAGGTCTTTAGGATAAGAGGATCTGAGCATAGGAGGTGTTGGGGGTTTTGGCTTCTTTTTTTTTTTTTCCTTCTCATTTTTAGGAGATACTACTAAGCACATTTAAGCTTGGTGTTTCCAGAAGTGTGAATCTGGATGGGCTTGCTTGCTAATGGTGTGATGATTATGTTCATCTCTTTGAAACTGTATTTCTGACAAGGTGGGTAAATGTGAGTGTAGAGCAGGAGAATGGTTCTGTGAGTGTAGAGCAGGAGAAAAGGAAAGGATGGAAGATTATTCTCCTACTGCAACTTGAAATCTTCAGGACCTGTAATGGTCTGGACAAAGAAGTACTTGACTGTTCAGGACTGTGTTCTCTTACATTTTAGGAAAGACAGCCTGGAGGAGCACAGGGCTCTATCTCCCTGAAGGGCACACAGCAGTAATAATGTGCCCTTGTCTGGTGGTCGGTGCTGGTCTGAAGGTAAACTCTCTCTGCTTGGCTTACACCGGTGTATTTGTCGGGTGAGCACTCAAAAATAGCACAGGGAAGGGTTTTCTCCTTAATGGCTTGTTCTGCCTTTCCTACTGCTCTTTCCTACTGCTGCCACCCTGTGGCACTTTAAATGCTTTGTCATCATTTCTTCACCTTGTGTCCTCACACTTTTCTTTTGCATTCCTCCCATTCTGTGTGCTGGTGGGATAATTGAGTGTGGCTGCTGCTTGAGGGCTGTTGGTTTTTGTTCTGCTGTGGTGCAAAAAAACCTGATCAAGGTGATTTTCAGGTCCAAGTACTTGGGCCCTTCTATGAACCAAACTTGATTCCATCTCTCCAGATCTCTCATAAATTCTTTTGGCAGTGCTGTCACTACTGCTCATGTAGATGAGTCCAGATGAGATAGGCACTGTTACTTGGGATCCTGTTCTCTGCAAAATACAACAGAAGCAAATGCTTACCTGCTTGGATATTTTTTGCAGTGACCTCCCTGCAGCTGAAATGCGAAGTTAACCCAGGTGCTTCTGTCTGATCCTGCAGCCACGTGCTGTCTGTTTTATTATAAGAACTCTAAGGAAGAGGCACAATAAAAGAAGCCAGTCATGACCATATCTCTCCAAATCATGTTATAGGAGGTGACTCTGATGCTGGTGAAGGGTGGAGGAATGATCAGTGCAAGTGCAGTGCAGTGGAAGAAGTCGCTGCAGTACTCTGACATGCTGGTGAAGGATGCAGTTGGGCCAGGAATACTGGGAGTAGAGCTCCCAGGGACAGCATGAACTTCTTTTTCCTTTTTTTTTTTTTTTCTATATTTACTGCCTCTGGTCACCACAGGCTGAAAACTGGAACTAGGCTGGAGTCAGATGGCTGCTTCTATGTACGTGCTCAGCAGGGACAGTGCTGCAGTGGAGAGCTCAGTGGGTGTTGAGGTCAGTCTGCCAGGTCACACTGACACACCTTTGACCAGCTGTTCCTACATTTCTGCTTGCCAGGTGCAGGTTGGGTGTCACACAGATGACCTCTCTAAAGCCAAGGAGCTGAAACGGGCACCAGTGGTAATACGCACCTGTGATGTTGCCTGCCAGGAACAGTCCATTTCCTGCCTCTGGGGTGGCCTCATTTACATCATAGTACCAGCAAAGAGTGTCCTGGGGAACGTGCCCATCACGGTAGAAGGGGCAGTCAGAGCTCCTTTCTTCAAGCTTGGTAGGTTTGTTTACCTTGATGCTTTTTGCTTGAGGGCTGCTCACAGATGTCGATGTCCCAGTGACTAAAAGGAAAGATGGTCCTGTGCTTAGGAAGGTCTTAGAAATGCTTGGATTTAGGAATACCCAGATTTATATTCCTTACTATGTTGTCTTCTGGGATTCCCATTTTTCTACTAATTTTTAAGAAGAGTGGAAGGGAGGTCCCCAGGAATCACCAACCTGTCAGCCTCAGCTCTTTTCCCAGAAGATCATGGAACAAACCCTCCTGGATGCTGTGCTAAAGCATGTGGAGAACAGGGAGGTGATTTGGAACAGCCAACATAGCTTCACCAAGGGCAAGCCCAAGAAAGATGGGGACAAACCCTTTAGCAGGACCTGTTGCAGTAGGACAAGGGGCAATGATTTTAAACTAAAAGATGATTGATTCAGACTATGTATAAGGAAGAAGTTTTTTACAATGAGGATGGTGGAACACTGAAACAACATCACAAGAGGTGATGGATGCTTCATTCCTGAAAACATTCAAGGTCAAATTGGGCAAGGTTCTGAGCAATCTGATCTAGCTGAAGATGTCCCCTCTGCTCATAGCAAGAGGGTTGAAACAGATGACCTTTAAGATCCCTTCCATCCAAACTATTCTCCAATTCTGTTAATCTCTGCTTCTGGGTAAGTCACTTAGGCACTCTGAGCCTGCTATGTGGCTGGGAGTAGGTGAAAGAGCTTTCACAAAATGGGCAGGGTTTGTTCACACCAACATTCCTTGGAGGCTGGAGTTGTTATTTCTGATGGAAACCGTTATGCTGAGGAGAGGGAGACTGATCTCTGCCACGGCAAAGCATGCTTTTGCTCTGCCTGCTTTACTGTGCCCTCATATGGCCATCTCTAGATCCTACAAGACATCTCTGGTGAATTTCCTGTGTTTCCACACAGTCTTCTCTCTTCTCTCTCTTCTCTTCTCTTCTCTTCTCTTCTCTTCTCTTCTCTTCTCTTCTCTTCTCTTCTCTTCTCTTCTCTTCTCTTCTCTTCTCTTCTCTTCTCTTCTCTTCTCTTCTCTTCTCTTCTCTTCTCTTCTCTTCTCTTCTCTTCTCTTCTCTTCTCTTCTCTTCTCTTCTCTTCTCTTCTCTTCTCTTCTCTTCTCTTCTCTTCTCTTCTCTTCTCTTCTCTTCTCTTCTCTTCTCTTCTCTTCTCTTCTCTTCCCTTCTCTCTCTTCCTCCAATTTCTTCTTGCTGTCTCTCAAACTGAACAGAACCAGCATTGTTATGTGAAACAACAACTCTGCTGGACAAAAATAAATGAGACACAAGAGAAACTTGATGTTTCTTTTGTTCTCTGATACGAAACAGGGATCTATTCTTGCTATGCTACTCTGTTATGTGCCAGTCCTTTTCTGTTTCCTACCTATTAATGAGCCTGAGGAAGCTTCCCAAGAACAGATCAAGGACTGGCTCTGTAACAGCCAGCACCTACAGTCATACAACTACCACATACTGCTTTCCAAGAAATTTTCATGACCTGGTCACTTTGTCTGAGCTTCATCTCTATGAGCATGCTCAGAAGTCAGAATTGCCTTTATCTGATTTTCTGTGTTGTTGCTGTAGGGGAGACTTGTGAAAGGCAGTGGGAGGCCTGTATCCGGCACTACCCTGCTCCCTGGGCAGAGCTTGCTGTTGAGAATCTCATCCTGACGGTGCCTTCTGACAGCATCCGCCACATGGAGAACCCACGGCCGCTGCTGACCCTGTGGAACGAGATCATGGTGGCGATAAGCAAGTTGGCAGCCGTACCAGCAAAATTCCCAAGGCCAGAGAGGATTGTAACAGATGTCCAGATCTCATGTGGTAGGTACATTGCCATATGGCCTTCTCCAGGGCTAAGAGGCAAGTGGTCTCTAGCAGCAGTGTCTGTTCCTTCAAGGTTATTTTGCTGAAACCAGACTGGGAACATATGTGAGGTGTTAAATGACTGTGACCCTTGCATAATTGTGAGCTACTCCGATGAGGTGGAAATGTGGTAAGGCAGGGTTTGAAAAACACGTGGATCTTTCCAGATGCCTCCCTGCTCTCAGAACTGGTGTTGTCTCCTTAGCTGTTCTCCTGTTGGGGTGTGTTAAGATGCAGAGTTGCTGACTGCAGTGGCTTTAGCTCACATGTAGTTATTCATTCCCCCTCCTGAATGCACTTAGAGTCAGTGCAGCTGGGAAGCAGTGACCTGATTTCTATTTTTTCTTTGGCTCAGCCACGGGACTGTTCTCATGTGTTCAGTGACAACTTTTAAACCTCTGTTTTAAACCAGCCTATTTGCTGGAGGTGGGCTCCACAAAGGTTATTGTGGGCAAAGGTTAGCCAGAAAAGATGTGTGCCTGGGATGATGACTGTGGAAGCAGATCCAGTATTTCTGTCAAAGCCCAGGAGTGTGTATTTTTGCAGCTGATGCTCCCCCACTCCAGCTTTTCCAGTTACAAACTGAGTGCCTTCAGTCAAGAATGAAATTATATAGTAAACATGGAACTTTGCAATAAAAATTTTTCCCGGTTGTTTTTCAATATAAACTGGTTAAATTCATCATCCCACAACGAGGCAAGGGCTTGGTCTGAAACATCATGCCTTAAACTTCTGCTAAGCTACAGTGGAAAGAATTTGTGGCACATCTTGGGAGTGTTAGGTTCTGCTGTGGTGAGCAAATGCCGGTTAAAAATATCATAGCTTACAGACATAATATTTCTTTTGTCTTGGGTGGACTAAATGGTTTTGCTCTTATTTCTGGATCTGAACTTTTTGGGTGCTAGTGGTTGCTAATTGCATATATCCCTCTTACTAAAAAAGAAGAAGCTTAAAATCTTCACTAGTTCCTGCAGAAACTAGTTCCAGGCCATTCACATTGATGTTGACTAGTTCCTGCAGGAAGGGGATTGCCATTCCTGTTCATTCACCAGGCTCCCTCTGTGCAAAGGGCTGCTTATCCTCTGCTACAACAGGTGTTTGAATTTGGGGGCATTGCTCTTGCATGAAGTTTTGGGAATCTTCAAGGAGGACCAGCTAGGGAAGAAGACATGAAGGAGGCATACGTAAAATCCCTTGCAGTGCACGTTTCTTTCCTAGCAACCTGCTGGGAAGTTGTTTATGGAATAGCCATCCTGCAAGGTTAAGAACAGGTTTAAGTATGATAGGCTTTGTAGCCCTTAAGCATGACAAACTGTGTTTTCCATGTGTTTCATCCACACCAGTGACCACTGGAGTGCAGGCCTGCAGTATCCACACTCTACACAGGAGCACTCAAGGAGTGCCATGGTGCTGAATCACATTATTGCACAGTTGGTGCATGTGCTCAGCCTGTGGGAGTTTGGGTGTGTTCTGGGCAATGGTCAGGCTTTTCTCCTCATCCTAACGCCTCAACCTCAGTCCAACCATGAGTGTACATTTATATATAAAAAGGGAAAGCAGGCAGAACTGCACTTAACTGATGGTTCAGTCCTACATTTACTTGTTTGACTATTGTAAGGGTGACTATCTTTTGCCGTGAAACTTGATTTATTTCCTTACGTCACACTGGGAAAAGCTGGTCATTCATGGTAATTTAAAAAGTGTTATTTATGAGATGGAGGAAAGGCACTAGAGAAATGAAAAAAATACCATAATCATTTATGTCTAAGAAGCACTGAGGTGAGCACTTAATGTCATGTGTCGTTACCTGTTTCTCCTGCAGGCTGGATGCATGCTGGCTACCCCATCATGGGCCACCTGGATTCAGTGAAGGAGATGTTAGATGTGAAGCACATACAAACTGCTGGTCTTTGGGGTCCCATCCATGAGCTGGGACACAATCAACAGCAGCAGGCATGGGAGTTTCCTCCTCACACCACAGAGGCCACATGCAACCTCTGGTCTGTCTATGTTCATGAGGAGGTGCTGGGCATTCCCAGGCATCAGGCCCATCAGGCACTCAGGCCACAGTGCCGGAAGGAAAGGATAAAAGAGTATCTGAAGAAAGGTGCTCAGCTAAAGGACTGGAACGTGTGGACTGCTCTGGAGACATACCTGCAGGTAACAGGGAAAAGTGTGTGTGTGTTCTTAGTGCAGTCACTGAAGCCTGTGTCAGAGGGATGTCTGCAGCCTGGTGACTGTAGCTGTGTAACCTTGTAAGTGTTTGATTACTGTCAGGGTTTATCTTGGGCCCAGAAAGCACCTGAGAGGTAAACAGGCAGAGTGCCTAAAGTTGATGGCTCCTGAAAACCTTCCTTTGCCAGACTTGGGCTTAGCCACTCAGGGAGGTAGCTCAGTGCAACATACTAATCTTTCTCCCTGGAAGAGAAAGAGGAACTGCTGCTTGTTATACAACATGGGAAAAGGAGGATCAAACTTGGGCACAGCTCTTTAATCCACAGCAGATTTCCTGTGGGACAGTGGGCTTGTTGTCAAAAAACTTTGGCACTGTAAAAGTGCCAAAAAGTGCACTGTCTAGAAGAGCCGGGCTTTGAAAAGTCTCCTGGTGAGTTACATGGCCTTGTAAAAAACTGACAGAGAGGAGGGTGTTCATATCCAGTGCACTGAGTGGAGCCAGTGTAGTCCATCAAGTGGCAAGAGGATGGGCTCAGCCTATCCTCCTGCACAAAGAGCTGGATCTCTCACTGTGGTTGAGACTAAAACATGAACCCTGTCCTAGATTAAAGTGCATTCTCTCGGGAAGCGTGCAAGAGAGATTTCCTCCTTTCCCTTAATCCTCCTAGAAACTATTAGCCTAATGGAAAAAAGCACTCAACCTGATTTTAACTGGGGACTGTAAAGCAGATGTCCATTATGATGGCTTAAGGTACTGACTGTTGTGAGATGAGTATTCCTCAGCTTCCTTGTCTGAGAGCTCTCACATTTTATATGAGGAAAGGAATATTTACTGGAGTATTGATCCTGACTTTTCCACATCCCAGAGAAGCATCTGAATTGTCAAGCTGAAGAGTCATCCTCTGTGGTTTTTTGGTGCAACGAATAATAAAATATTTATACAGAGTGGAACAGTTTTAGGAGGAGATATTTTCCCACAGTACCTTACCAGTTTGGCCACTGCCTCACTGCCTCACCCACACTTGTAGGCCGGGATGTCTCATCTCCTGTTTGGTTACTAACAGGACTGCTGGAATAAATGTGGCATGAAAGAACAGTTCTAATTCTGCAGCAGCAGTTTTTCTGTTTGAACTCCTTTTGTTCTTATTCTTAGGCCAAGCATGTCCTGTTCATAATTTCTCCTCATTTTCTCAACACTCCTTGAGCTCCTGTGCTCCTTCTTTCTGGCTATCCTATCAGTGTCCCTCCCCTCTGATACTGTTTTCACTGTCTTTAAAGCAGCAGCTTATATAATAGGTTGCTGACACTTCTGCCTACTCCCAATGTATCTTTGATCTCTGTTTGTTTTGGGAGATCAGTATAATGGAGGTATTTTTCTGTATGTTAGTGCTGTTAGTTATGCTCTGAAGCCTGAAAGTTGGGTGCTTTCATCTAAATTTACATTCATTCTATAAGACACTGCAGAGACCTGTGGAATTTTCTATTGTGTGTACAGGAATAACGTCAGTGAAATGATAGCTTAATTGTTTGTACACTAAATTATTTTTCATCAGTTGCAGGAAGGGTTTGGTTGGGACCCCTTCACCCACCTCTTCTCTGACTACCAGAAGATATCCAAAATCCCAAAAGACAACAGTTCTAAGATGAACTTGTGGGCACAGAAGTTTTCTCAGCAGGTGAATAAGAATTTGGCTCCGTTCTTTACAGCCTGGGGATGGCCTATCAAGAAAGAGCTGTCTATGGAACTGTCCTCTCTACCCACCTGGGAACAGGATCCAATGAGATCCTATAGTCCGTAAAGGAAAACGATGTAAATCTTTGTTCTCATACTAGCTATGAGAGCTATCTTTTTATGTGCTACATGATAGCTCACTATGTGCTTGGATTTATGCTGGATTTTTGAGCTTCTTGATGCCAGTGGAGGCCAATGCCAACAAAAATTCAACAGGGATCAGCAGATCAGCAACCACCTAAGCTATCTTCTGAAGGGTTAAATAATCAATGAGCTTTGTTCTGGGTTCTTCACCTCAGGAAGAATGCAATTCTCCATTGATTTACTTCCTATAGAACTTTTCTCTGATGAAATGGAAGTTTTCTGGGTGGAGCATTCCCTCAACCAGTTTCAAGGACTTTACCATGGGAATAGAGATCTTGAAAGCAAATAGTAGCCTCTGCAATGTTGTATTCTTAAGTTATAATCTCAGTAACATGGGATTTTCACAATTGTTTCTGTTACCCTAAAATCCCTAATTGTTAATTCCTCTAATTATGCAGAACTTCCACACCTGTTGTGAAAGTGGCTTTATAATGCTTATAAACATACTATGTAATGCATAGTTGATATTGAAATACTGTAGATTTCTTCCTCCATTCTATAACTCTGTGATCCAACGCCCATCTTTATGTGAACAAGTCAATTACAAGTTGGAGCTGTCCTCAACCAGAGCCTGACAGCAAGATACATGCCAATGAAGATGAGAGAGTGGAAACAGGGAGGTGATTTGACAGTAGTCAGTAATGGTTTAATGTGTGGACACATCAAAGGTTAAAGACAGGCACTGACCTGACAGCCTGAGGGAGCAGCGAGAAAGAAGACAACAGTTCATCAAGACAGAGGACCAGCCTTTCCAAGGTGCAACAAAAGTTCATGTTAATCCCAGCTCTTTCATAATTGCTCAGCTATTATGGGTTCTGGCAAGCATGTTAATGCTTAGCCTCAGATCTCACTAGTCCCAGCCTATTCCTTATGTATCAGTAATAAATAAAATCACTGTAGACTTGCAGGTTTTGTATGTGGTCCTATTTTCATGCCTCCATGCCCAGTAAAAAAAGGCCTAAATAGAGATGACCTAAATAGAAGTGGCCTTGGTGGTAAAGTTGAGAAAAATCACCATGGAATTCTCTAGTCTGTGGTGTGGCCTTGTATATTTTGTAGTGCCAAAGGAGAGCACATTAGGCCAAATATCAGTCACAATTAAAGAGGCTGTGCAGTCTCCATTCTTCAGGCTTGGTAAGTGATTCCAAAACGTAACTGTAACAGGGTAGTAAAGAGGCATTTCTGCATTTGTGTTTTACCCATATTTTCCTGATTTTCTGCAGGTTTTCTTTTTGTGGTTATGTGTATAGAAAATGTCAAAATATGCTGGATTAGGGGAAACTGACATCTCTGCCTGGTGCTGAACCATCTGTCAGTACCAGCCCCCTGGGCTGAGCTGGCCACTAGAACGTCATCCTGACAGTACCAGCTGCTGATGTTACACCACATGGGCAACCCAAAGAGTCTGCTTCCCATCTGCATCAAGATGATGAACGCAATTTCCAGGCCAGCAGCCATCCCAGCAACTTTTCCAAGGCCAGAAATGATGGTGGCAGATGTCCAGATATCTCATAGCAAGTGTAATAACTAGGACATTTTGTCTGTATCTGTGATGGATATTTGTAAGGGAAATACACAAGGCTATCACGAGACCGTGCAGATCCTCAAATCAGCAGATCAATTCCGTCATATTCAAGAAGACTGCTGGAGAGAGTAAGAATCTTCTGTGGATGTCAAGAGTTTGTATGCAAAAGCAACATATTCTGCTGCTAAATTTGACACTGTAAGACCCAGTGAAGGGAGGCTGGCCACCAAATGATGTGTGTACTGTGTCATGTTGATCTTGTTGCTGTGGGAGTGAATTTATGCTAATTGCAGCAGAAAGCAGGGAAACACAGGTTTAGCTGGTTTAGGCAGGACAAAGGAGATTTTGAAACTTGAATTAAGGGACACAAGAGACACACAGCCAGCCTACTCTATGTAATAAGACCCTGGTGTTAGCATGCGTAGGATTGCTTCCACCAGTGGGGAAGTGAGGGCAGTGGTAGGGGAAGAGTTGGTTGTAAGCAGCATTTTGTTGTCTGTTATTTAAGAAATCCGCTGTTTAAAGACAATTCACTAGGCCAGTGGAACTGAAGTTTGTTATGGGTGATGAGGAGGCTCCTGAAGGCCAAGTCTCAGCATTATTTTCAGTTAATCTTTGTTCAAGTATTGCACTTTTCTCAATAGGATTGGCAGGTTCTTTCAGCTCTGCTTGACTGCAGCACTAGAGGTGTTTTATACCACTTGAATTGATAGATTCCTCAGCAGCCCAAGCCACCACTCAATAATTCACAGCTCTAGCAGCTTGACTCACCTGGTGTATATGCTGTCAGTCAAGTAGAACTGATTCAAGAGAGGCTGGCCCAAGTGTAAACACTGGCACAGGTTGCCCGGAGCCAGAGGTGGTTGATGCCCCATCCCTGGAAACATTCAAGATCAGTTTGGATTGGACTCTGAGCAACCTGATCTGATGATGCTCCTGATAAATGCAGGGGAGGTGGACTAGATGACACTGAAGGTCCCTTTCGACCCAAACCATTCCATGATTCCATGAAAAGTGGATGTTGTGTTTCCATACTGCATTTGCTCCTCCAGGCATGTCCATATGTCAGAAGGATTTTATTAACCAAGCATTACATCTGGCCTCATAGGACTCCGAATCCAACAATCAAGTCGTAATCTGTCAGTGTCTCTGCAACTGCTGTGTTGAGATTACATATCAGTTGCTTCTGGATTAGTTTACATGGCTCCTTCTCATAAGATACCAGCCCTTTGCACGGACACTGCAGATCCTGTGCACAGTCTCCTGTGACTGCTGATCCACGCAGCAGTCTCCACCAGAGGCCACCCTGGTGGAACCCAATATATAAAACTCTGCCTGCTTCTCTCAGACCTGCTAAAACAAGGGGAGTGTAGCACCATTTCAAACATGTGAATGGCTCTGTATCCCCCCTGCACTACTATGCAGCTATAAGGAACCAGTTCAGCCTGTTGAATTGTCGCTGAAGGAAAAAGAACCAAAGATACAAAATCCTATGAAAAGCTACTGGAATATGACTTTTAAAGCTATTTATGGTTGTCAGCAATACTGAGGAGCCCATGGAAGATTAGGATAAGGAGTACAGTAAGTTTGTTTGTTTTTTCTGAAAAAAAAAGAGGCTTTTTACAAATATCATGAAAACAGCAAAATTGGTACCAAAGCAATACAGTGAAGAAGTAATGGTGGACATCAGCAGCAAATTCTACCCAAAGCTGAAGTGAGGTTTGGAATATTATTCAATAGTAAAGAGCTACTTTACTAAAACAAACTGACAAGAATCTGCCTTCCAGAAAAAACAACAAAATAAAATAAATCCCAGTTCACAATTTGCTTTGTGGTACCACAGACACTGTCAGGGCACAGTGTAGGCGAGTCAGTGTCCAGGAGCCAGCTGCAGTAACACGGCCAGCAGGACAGCTGGGGACCAGCCACAACACCTGAGTGAGGCAAGCAGGGCACACCTGGCACAGCATCCAGGGTCCAGATTGCTAGACGGGTCTTCAGAGATGAGGGAACGTCTGAGGTGAAGCCTGGAAATCAGTCCTCAGCTCAGTATTGGGTCCAGTGATGGTGACCAAGGTCAGACATACTCCAGTGGCTGCCAGGCAGGCCCATTGTGATGAGGCACATCTGAAATCAAGTGAGGAAGTCAGACTATGGATCTGCAGGCAAATTAAGCTTGCGATACATTTACAAATGTATTATTTTAATCCAGGGAAGCTTCTTTCCTCACTTCCACCATTCAATTCCTACCCCAGATCATCTCTCTCTGTTGACTCTTAGTCTCCAGTACTGTATACATGTGCCAGCTCACAGGATTCTACAAATCAACATGAACCAGTCCTGATCTGTCCCAAGCAGCACACTTCATCAGGAGAACCAGAACTTCAGGGAAAAGTCTTGGAAGCAGTCCTCAGAAAACGTGCTTGTTTCGAGTCATTTGTGGTCTCAGCACAGTGCAAGGCTCATTGGTCTGTGGAATGTGCTGGTTTCAGATGTAATAGTGAACCACAGCCTTTGGGCAGTACCAAAGATGACTTCTGATCACTGAAAATTGTTCTTTCTCTTTCTTTTTCTTTTTCCCCCTAATACTATATTTAAGCCATTTGTTCAGTGTTGTGGTGCAATACTTCATTCAGTAGCAACCAGGGTTAATAGACAGTACAAACATCAACTGTGAAGTGTCTCTAGGCAGGGACTCTGCATTTTGTGCTGCAAGAAGAGTCTTATGTATTGTAAGTATGAAGAGATATTTTAAATATGCATACTTATAAAGCGTGGAGAGGTGGGTTGATATTTATCAGTCTTGTTTTGAACCCTTGTAACAATTGGGAAAAAAAAAAGTAGGGATCAAGCCTGTTGCCACAGCCCTGCCCTTCAGGATGAAGAGCACTTATATAAGTACTTGATTTTTTGTTTTGTGTGAATATTTGAAAGATGAGTTTGTTGAATAATCTGATGGTGTTAAAGGGCTGCTTTGGTTCTTCAGTAGGCATTTAGAATTTTTGTGGTAGGTACACAAAAAAAATGCCCTGTGAGAAGATCAGTAACTGAATTTAATACAATATCTTGTTAAGAATGCAGGTAGAATAATTCTAAAGTTACATATATGTATTTTGTGCTTTGTCACCTGTGATTCGTAGTTTCAAGAGGCCTGTGCGTAGGAAACCTTCACCGAGATACTTTCTGAACACCAAAATATGACTGAGGTCCCAGATGATGATGCCTCAAAAATGAATCTGCAGAAAGAAACCTTTTCACATCTGGTCAGGAGGAATTTGATTCCTTTCTTTAAGGTCTGGGGATATCCAGTCTGGGTGAAACTTTCCCAGCAGCTGACTATTTCTTTCCCCATCTGGTCAGATGATCCCATGAAACAGTGTATCTCCTAAGCAGGTTTTGACTCATGGAAATGTGATTGTCTGTCATAAAGTCAGTGCTCTGCAGTACTTCTAAAAAGTACTTTTGAATGGTGTAGTGTTCTAATGAATCTGAGAATCGCCTTGGTGTGTACATGTGATAGAAGAGTTTGTTCGTTCTTGGCTTCCTCCCAAATCTGCCTTTTTCTGTGTGGGTCCCACTACTTTCTTTCCCAACAGGAGTAGTTTTAACCACAGAAGGGGAAACACTGGCTCTCTACCAATGAAGCCAAGCAACCCCTTCCCATTTTTTACTTTCTCTGTTTCCTTTTCTACAGAATGTTCTCTGTTCCAGACTTACTCTGATTTCAGGTATGCAAAGTTTGTTAATTATAATCATTAGGACAAGAGTTGGAATGGGGGAAAATGTCACTTAAAAAACAGAGACACGTTGGGATATAATAAACCTGGAAATAAATGGAAGAACTGAGGTGAAATTACAGCTATGAGAAATGAGGATGATCATTTAAAGGAAAACCTTGATGGAGAGCACAGGAAAGGCCTTGATGTGTGTTTAATTGTTCTGAAAGAGGCTGCCTTCATGCTCTGCTTTCAGAGTTGGCAACTGTGTAGTGAGAAACAGCTGCTTTAGCTCATGTCAGAAGCAAAAGAGTGTTCAGGCAGTGAACTTACCTCCTTGATCCTTAGCTAGAGTAAATTTGCAGACATTTTGTGCATGTAAAATTGTGGCAACTCACTCTGCATGAGGATCTAAGACAGCAGGTGCCTCACCTAGCAGGATTGAATGTCATGGCAGGAACACAGCACTGGAATGTGTTTACAGTGGTCTGTTCTGATCTCCAGTCTAAACAACCAGATCCACGTCCTGTTCTTAAATGCTACACTGAATTTCCCCTATGTTAAAACACGGACTATAGCACAACCCAATTTTTATGGTGCATTTTGAGATCCTGAGCAAAGCAATTCCTTGTCTTATGGC